ATGATTTTGATATTTGTTGTCATTGCACAGCACAAGCACTGATCAACACCTTGCAGTTTAGCATGTAACTCAAGGATTGGCTCTTTGGTCACAGCAAGGGCCACATTCATTTAACTCTCACTGCCAGGGGGGCCAAATTGTAGTTTCCAAAAACGACTGAAATCAATTATGTCTCAAATTTAACTCAACATATCCCAGTGATCAATTATCATTTGGACATACTTCTGGTTTTCATGATTTCACGGAAGATTTTGTCATGTTTTCTTCATGATTCCAATTACAACACTGCCTCTCTTCTCTGCTGTTTACATCACTTGCTGCTATTTTATCATACTGAGTCACTTTAATCATCACTTGTCACTTTATCTTGTCATTCTCTGCAAATACTGCCTCAATTCCCCCCAGTTAACTTCATCATTCATTTTGTACTGTATATACCCCCTGTTTTTGTTTTTATTTTTATTTTATTTATCTTACCTATTCTGTTTAAAGTGTATTTTGGAGCTTTCTTGTCTGTGCTGCTGTAACGCCCGAATTTCCCCTTCTGGGAATCAATAAAGTATTATCCTATCCTATTATTTGATATGTCAAAATTGAACTGAGGGCCACATTGAGGGTTGATGGGGGGGGGGGCACCAGTTGCCCACCCCTGATCCAACTAAAAGTGCAAAGCAGCTTTAAGGTGAAGACTAAAATGCAAGGCAAAGTATTCAACACTCAGTGCTGCAGACACACTCATGCAATCACAAGTACTGACATCCAACACCCATCACTTGAGTGCATTACTTCCACCATAATAAAATCAGTGACAATGTAAATAAAGCTGCAACTCTATCTAACTCTAATCAAGATATTATTTCATTTCATGGCATAATTAAGTTTTCCCCTCCATGTGTTATCTACAAAAGCACTTTTCTCAGGTACATGCACTCATATAACTCACAGGTTAAAGTCACTGCAGTGTTTTGGGTCAGTGTGCAGCTCAGACAGCTCCAGAGTAAAACCATCAAATCTACTTGCCTTTTAGTCCGATTGATTAATTAAGAACATTATATTAATAGCATCTGGTCTTTACGCCTGATCTTTAAGTCATCGCCCTGCGTCAGATCTCACATAAGCGAACCGAAGAGGCTTACGGGGGGAGAAAAAAAACTACAACATCAACAGCGAGATGATGAAGCAAAGCTAGTTGATACTGCAGAAGATAATTAGCTGACTTGGAAATGTCAGCCGCGTATTTAGTGTTTTTTTTAATGAAGTTAAAGCGCACCTTCACATACAATAAAGCCGGGGTTACTCACCTTTGTTTGTTTTTCTTTTGCAGTCTCAACAGTTATTTCGAGGTGTTGGTTTTCCACGGACGCCTGCTAGCGGGGGTTGCTAGTGAGTTAGCGCTGGTCGGTTGCTAACGGCTAGCCGCTAATGAATTCCACAATGTCAGAGCAGTGAACGCACGAAAAGCTCGCAAGTAACCTGGAGACAAGTGGCAGGCTGGACCAAACTGAGCCGGGGAAGCTAACACGTCAAGCACTCCTTCATTCTGACTGCCGGGCATCCTGTTAGAGACAGATAAACATCCCATTTGATGATTTCTCAAACACTCTCCTCTCACCCGCAGCCATCTTACTTTGACTCCGCCCACACGACTGCTCTGACTGCGCCCACACGACTTCTCTGACTCACACCCACCGCGACGCTGCTCTCCTCCTCTCTCTCTCTCTCTCTATGCTGTATGAAGCTGAAGGCTTCCAAGTAAGGTACCCAAAATAAGAGAAAAAAAACATTTTTGATTGATTTTCATACAATAGCCTACAGAAAATGTTAGAGAACATACTAACAGACTGTTTATAAGCTCATGTGTGTTGAAATTACAGGATCTAGTTCACTTGAAAACATTATTAGTCATGTTTAAAGCTAAGTGTAGTGGCGATATCTATAGTGTATAAATAAAACAAAAATTCCAAACAAATTATAAACTTAACACAAACTCATAATAAAGCCACTGAGGCACCTAGAGGGCGAATCTTACGCAGGATATATTAATAAGTCCATTGTCCAGATCAGGGGTTCCCAAACTTTTCATGTTTCAAGGGTGACAGAAACTGTGGACCCCCCACTGATCTTTAAGGTGGTTAGTTAGGTATAAAACGTAGCGACAGCCACGCACACACACTAATAAACCTATCCAAAAACTAGTAACACAAAATAATACAACAGCCTAAAAGAATTTAAAAAATCCACTTAATGATACCGTCTTTTATGACCTTGGACTACTTTGTATATTTACAAAAATGGTAAAAAGATATACTTATGCACTTTCAATTTTTTTAATGGAAGGCATCTCACGACCCCCCTCTTGGTGGCTAGCGACCCACCTTGGGGTCCCGACCCCCACTTTGGGAACCACTGGTCCAGATGATGCTTGAAGGTTTTAGGGTGGTTTATTTTATCCAGAGACATCAAGCAGGCAACAAACAACAAAAAACGCTGCTGTCTCTCTTGCCCTGTCATCCTGCCATTGCATCCTGGCTTCCTGGTAAAAAAAAAACCCCATTAACCCATTAGGTGCCTACCTGAGTCTCACCTGGCTACCTGGCTATAAAGACACACCCATGTACAGACTCCACCCTTATGCCCCAAGTAGCAAAAATAAACAAATGGAAATAACTCATATAAATGTAAACAATAATCATCAAAATACCCCGAACATAATCTAATATTCAAATGTATCCCCAAAATATCCCAAAAAATAAGAATATAGACTTTCACTTAGTTTAGGAACAGTGAATAGCTGTAATACTAAGAAATACATCATTATCCGAAAATGTACAGAAGTTTTTTGTATTTACATCTAATGAGGAGGATCATAGACGGAGATTTAATTTTAAAAGTCCATTTGCACGCACTACATTAAAACAAATGTGTATCTCAGTAAATGGAGTTAAATTAGGGAATTCTCTCGATAATCATTTAAAATGCTGCTCAAGTATCATTCAATTTAAAAGAATGTGTAAAGAAAAGGTTGTGGGAAATGATGAATGTATTGAGTTAATCTAACTGATTGTATTTGATTGTTTCTATATTTTTGATCTATTTTTTGTTTTGTGAAAGAAAGAGAAAACAACAGGTTATAACCATCTTATTCTGTTAAACAGTATCTTGTGTTATTAGGAAAGGGGTCAGGTATTATAAGCTGTCTTCTTCCTGCTCCTGTTTGCTCATGAACAGTGTTTCAGCATTATGAGAAAATATTTTTTGTTGTGTATTATGGTGTTGAAACCATACACTGAATTGAGCAAATAAATCAAATATGAAATATGAAATGAAATGTCATATGTTAAATTTCTGCTTAATGTGTTCGGGCCGATAGTAGCCTTAACATGTTTTATCTTTTCTCTTCTTTCCTTTCCTCCCCTTTCTCTGTCCTTTATTTCTTTTATGGATGTATCCTTAGATGTTTGTCAAAAAAAATGTAGAATGTGCCAAGACTAACAAAATAAGTGAATAAATTTGGCAACATGTAGTAGGTCAAGTATAAAAACCTGCAATAAAGTAATACATTAATAGGCCAATAAATCTTAATCAAGCTCAGTCTGAGCATCACATTTGACCTTGAATGTACCAATTTGACAAAATTCTCAAATCCAAGTCAAAACAGCTTTTTATGCACTTTATGCGAGATGGACTGGTTAGTAGGCCTGTCATGGAAATGGACGCCCTAATCAGAGGTTCCCAAACCCCAATCTTTTTGCAGATCCCCCCCCACACCAGAAGTGCAATAAGCAGAAAGTGCAAGAATCTGTGCTATGTAGAGTAATAACAAAATTTACAGATGTAGACTAAAAAAAAAGAGTGAATTATTGGGTATATATGGCTGGATTAATGGGATGCTATAAATATAAATAAATGCTATAAATATAAGTATATTCTTAGGATTATAATATACCCATTAGACTCATTTTCAGTGGAATCTTCTTTTTTCCATTTGGACTAGATTTACCCTGAAAATAACTAATAAAAAAACACACTAAAGTAGTAGCCTATACAGTTTATGATTTCTACATTAACCCTGCACTCTGTATGTTTATTGACAGTGAGGCTCTGTGTCACAGTGGGCTCTTTACTCCAGTTATTGTATGTTGTCGCCATCAGTCACTCTGTGAACCACAGTGGAAGGAGACCTCTTTGGTTTTCTAGGCGATGGAAGAATTCTCAGAGGACTCATGACATCTGTTGTGGTTCCCTTCCATAGAGACCAGCATCGCCAAGCAGAGCTCAGGTGGACCTGCTCGGTTGTTAGGTGGACTATATGCCAAGGTGTCTAAAGGGGGTGTCTGATTACTCGTCCCTGAAAGATGGACTTCTAGAGAGTCTCACTGAAAAATGTGTTAGTTAAAGGGTTACCTTTGGAGGATGGATAAAACAGATGATGGCAGTATCGGAGGGGACAAATGGCAGAGGCTGCTCAGGTGGCATCGAGGGCAGAAAATAAACGAGGAGGGAGAAGATGGAGTCAAGGAAGAAGGGAAACGTAACAACTTTCTGGATCTGAAGCTAAATGTCAAGTGAGTCATTAACGGCTGATCTAGGCGTTTTCACAAAAAAATATATAATGCTGTCTGATATTTTTTGATCATGAAGTTAATATAAGGACGTTTAAATGAGTGTATGCTGTTCTGTGTTCATGTTTTGCATTTTAATTTCTTGGAAGATTTTAACATTACCAGTAGACCAAGCCAGATCTAAACATGACAGGCGGACGATAAAGTCCTTACAAACCAGAAAGCGAAGCCACTGTTGAAAAAACTTACATGTTTAGATTACCATAGAGTAATCTAACTGATATGTAAAGGTTTCAAAGTCTACTTATTTTACAAGAAAAGTCCCCATAACTTCAGAAATACTACCATGAACCACATTATCTTTGTGACAGTTGTCATCATGTCACACCACAACCATCGTGGCTAATCTCTTCTTCATCTTTCCCCCTCAGCTGGAATGACTGGCTGGTTGATCCAGCAGAACACTTTTATTATGTGTGGCTACAGGTCATGATCTTTCCCATCGTCTACAACTCTGTGATCATCATTCTGAGGTACAAACATCAGCTATGATGAATGTAAAGTATAATTAGTATATATCTAAAAACATGACCTGTGAAGTCTTATTGGTTATGTTTCCTCAGAACATGCTTCACTACCATCGCACTGAGCTACCTGCCCGTGTGGCTCACTCTGGATTATCTGTCAGACCTCATGTACACCATAGACATGATCATCACTGTCCACACAGGTAAATGCTCTTTATTTTTGTTGTTGTTTTTACAGGGATTTAAAACAGAACAAAATCTCCAAATCTGACTGAAATTTTTGTTATACACCTCTCTGGACAATTATGTTTGGAGACTAGACCTTCTTCAGATATACTAATTAAAGCCTCATACCATATCAATTTTTCTTAAAATAATTATTTGACATGAAAGGACCATTTTCTGTCATACATAGATTAAGAAATAATTACTCTCTGGGGATACAAACATGGCATGATGATGTTTTGTAAAAAAAAAAAAAAACTTCTGTAGTATCCTAAAAGTAACACCCCATAATTGAGCAGTACTGTATTGGGTCTCTCCTGGACTTTGACAGGCAAACCGAGTCCTCAAGTCAAATCCATATTGACTCTGCCTGACATCAGAGGTATAATATGTCACATTTTAAATATTAATATCGTTGAGTAATGACTTTTAAGAAAAGTTGAAGTCAAACTCCCTCTGTATTTGTTGTTCTTAGCTCTTTGTTCAAACTGTTGGGACAGTGCTTTCATCAGTTTGTTTATGTTTCATTCAGAGGCTCAAAAATGTTTCATACATGTTTTATGTCCCTGTGTGAACCACGACCTGTCCAACTGTCAGCCCTACTACCACAGTGGGGGAAGAGAGACCACAGTTATGCTAGTTGTATAGGGCTAGTTGTAATTTTAACTCCCACACAGGAGCAATAATGTTGAGTTCTTGGATGTTGACAAATGATCATAGACATCTTTCTGCCTTAGATTCTTGCATGATATGAAATCAGTTTTAACTTTGTTGAAGGAAGATGGATTTGTTAACCCTTAAATAGTTAATGTGAATGTACCTTGACTTGATTTTTGCATCAGTGTATGAGGTGTGCTTTTAGATTTTTAAACCTTGTTCTCCTGTCTCCAGGTTACCTGGATCAGGGCATCATGATCAGGGACGTAAACCAGCTGAAGAAGCATTACCTCCACTCTAAACGGTTCTTAAGGGACGTGGCTTCACTGCTGCCCACCGACCTCCTCTACTTTGTCTTTGGCATCCAAACTCCAATGGTTCGGATCAATCGCCTTCTGCGAATTCCACGACTCAACGAGGCCCTGGACCGCATGGAGACCAGAACCTCCTACCCAAACACTTTCCGCATCTCCAAACTTATGATCTACATCTTTGTGTTGATCCACTGGAATGCCTGTCTCTACTTTGCACTCTCCAGCTACATTGGCTTTGGGAGTGATCGTTGGGTCTACCCCAACACCACCAACCCAGAGTTTGCCTCCATGCGTCGTCAGTACTTTTACTGCTTCTGGTTCTCTGCCCAGATTTTCACCACAGTAGGAGACAACCTGCTGCCAGAAAGGGAGGAGGAGTTCTTGTTTATGATTGCAGATCTGCTCATTGCAGTGCTGGTGTTTGCATCGATTGTTGGCAATGTTGGGAATGTTATCACCAGTCTAAGAGATCGTGATAATGTCTTCTTCCCAAACCATGAGCTGGTAAGTTGGAAGACAGTTAATGTAGACTTCGACGACTTTTACTGTAGTTCCATTCAACAGTTTTGCAGAGTTCCCCATTGGAAATTTCAACTTAAACGCCTCTTGAAGGTCAAAAGTCTCACCAACTCTGTCTTCCTCTATTCAGCAAATCAACAGCAGTAAAGTTCTATAAAAGTTATATGAACACTGATTGCTTGATAAGTATAAAACACAGTTTGTTACCACTTCCTTTTAATTTGTGACCCCTTAAAAATGGACTACAAACAGTTCTGACTATCTGTGGACATGGTGTTTGCAGGAACAAAAAAACTGAATTTTTTAAAATATTTTAGAAATTAGTCTTATTCCTGACAGTTTATGTAATTTTCTCTGAAAAACATGCTATGAAACATAACTGAAAGAAAGGCCTGTGAGATTACTTTATACATACATACTTTGTAATTTTTTTGGCTTGGTGTTAATTTAATTTCATATAAAGGAAACACTGTTCTTCTTCTCCTCCTTCAGGTGAAGGCATACCTGCGTAGCCATCACATTAGCAAGGAGCTGCGACAACGTATCGATAACTGGTACCAGCATCTTTACATAAACAAGAAGATCATGAGAGAGAATGAAATCCTGCAGCAGCTGCCCGTACATCTGAGGACAGAGATCGCTGTCAGTGTTCATCTTCCAACTCTCTCCAAAGTCACCATCTTCCAGAGCTGTGAGAAGAGTCTGCTGGAGGAGCTGGTGCTAAAGCTAAACCCTCAGGTGAAAATACAATGTGGTGGTCACTAGTCACTAGAACAACAGGGGATGGATATGTCCAAAGTTATGCCTTAATTGTGTAGATTTGAATTAATCCTTGTTGCTGTGCCTAGTCTACAATCCAATAAATCAGCAACGCTTTGAGAAAAGAGTTGCTTAATTTCATGCTTTTTGTTTGGTAGGTGTTCAGTCCAGGAGAGTATGTCTGCAGGAAAGGAGATGTAGGCCATGAAATGTACATCATCAAAGAGGGAAAACTTGCAGTTGTAGCTGATGACGGGGTCACAGAGTTTGCTGTGCTGAGTGAAGGGAACTTCTTTGGGGAAATAAGTATCCTCAACATCAAAGGTAAGCCAAGAGTGAAAGACTTAACGGAAAAAAAACAAGCAATATTAGATTTTGACCACATTACTGATACACATGTAGGTTTGGTAAAAAAATAAAAAATAAACATACAGTATTCCAGCATTAATTCTGTTTTTTCTTCATAACATGTTGATAGAAATTATTTAATAGATTGTGAAAAAATAACATCAAATTCTGAACTTGAAATTGTGCAGCACAGAGTGAACACACCTCAACTTTAAAATATAAATAGTTGCATCTTAAAATTATTGACAGGACATGAAATATAGGTATTTATGGTGCCTTTAAACTCTGAATTGGGACAGCATAATATATTTTGCTTTTTCAACACTAAATGTCAATAACTCACAACATGTATTCTTGTAGGCAACAAGTCAGGCAATCGTCGCACTGCCAACATCCGCAGCATTGGCTACGCCGATCTGTTCAGCCTGTCAAAAGAAGACCTGACAGACGTGCTGTCTGAGTTCCCTGCTGCTAAATGTCATCTTGAGGAGAAAGGCAGACAGATCCTCGTCAAGATGGGCATGTTGGAGGAAAGTGGGGATGGAGTGGAGGTGGAGGTGGAGAATGTGGAAATCAAGATACAAAGACTGGAGAAAAACTTGGAAATCCTGCAAACCAAACTAGCTCGACTGATGATGGAGCTCGAGTCAAGCAACCGCAAGATGCAGGCCAGGGTGGTGCAGCTTGAGTGGGAGGTGGCTGCACTGGGGACTAAGGTGTCAGAAGATGGAGACAAAGGAGAAATAGCGGGGGGAAGAGAAGAAGGGGTGGGTGGGGAGGTAAATTTAGTGCGAGAAGAAGCAGAGGGAGAAGAAGAGGAGAGTTCAGATGCAAAAGTAAAAAAACAGGGACGGGGAGAAGACGGTAAGGATGTGACCAAAGAGGGAGATGGAGAAAGCACAAAAAGTACAAAAGAGGACGTAGAAAGGACGATGGAGGGAGATAAATCAGATGTGAAGGACCCAGGCAATCAGAAAATAGAAGATGATGGAGCAAAGAGCAGAGAGAAAGGAGATGACAGACCAGGGAAAGGAGATGGTGCTGAGATTGAGCCTGAAGATGAGAAAGAAGAGAAAAGTGGGGGAAGAGAATCTGAAGAGGGGGGAGAAAATACCAAAGAACATTCAGACAACAGACAGAAAGAGTCGAAACCTGATGAACAGAAAAAATGAATGGAAAAAGGGAAAACACAGCAGGAAGGCTGTCTGTCTGTTTTACATCAATTTAAATATTGAGAAATATCTTTTGCTATGCTTCTGCAATACTATACAGTACCACTAGGTGGCGGCATTTTGCACCAACTTCAAATAAAAGTTCAATCCAAAGAAGAACAATATGCTTTATATATAATAGATGGTGTCTTAAATTGTTATTTCATATTCTAAAGGTTGTCTTTTCATTTTGATAATATATAAAATAGGTTTTGGAGGCAGATAAATGTTTATTTATCTCTTTTTATATGAATTAAATTATCAAAACTTCCAACCTGTATCTGGTTTTGTCATTTGTGTTTTCATTTTAAAACTTTTTCTCTTTTGGGATTAAAAAATATGAAGAAATATTCAGTAGTTAGTACAGTAGGCTCCTAGCAGACGGAAATACTTTTTTGAAGGCATCTAATAAAATGTCATATATTAATATAGTCTAACTCGTGTTCATTTTTGCTATGTGGTAAATAGTGCTGCTCCCCCCCTAGTTGTTTCACTAATCCATGGTGGTAAGATTGGCTAGCATGTAGAACAATGCACATATACAAAAAAGGGAGATTTTCATGATATACTGTTGTAATCTTTATGCACCACTGGTTCTTTCATTGTGAGACCTTTGTGTTCATAAAAGAACATTTCAAAAAACTTTTTAAAATGACATTTAGTTTAAAAACAAAAGAATTTCACAAAGGTACAAGGACCATCTATATTGTAAATAAACAAATTTAAAGAACGTATAGTCATGATAATAATTAAATATTTTAATATCTTATGATACAACACTGCCAGGAGCCATGCTTTAACCTCTGATAGTAGCTTTAAGTGGTACAGTTTTGAATGCTGGATCACCTGAGCACTTTTCGGGTTGTATGTTCTTACTTCTTCAAAGTAGCCTAACTACACACGTCTTCCATTAATGGGATTATATTTACTTTCCAATCCACGTGAAACATATAGAAGAGGATTAGGGCCACACATTTAAAAAAAATAGAGTTCTGACTTTATTCTCATAATTCTGACTTTATTCTCATAATTCTGAGTTTAAAGTCAGAATTCTGAGTTTAAACTCATAATTCTGATTTTATTCTCATAATTCTGAGTTTATTCTCAGAATTCTGACTTTAAACTCATAATTCTGACTTTATTCTCATAATTCTGACTTTATTCTCACAATTCTGACTTTATTCTCAGAATTCTGACTTTATTCTCAGAATTCTGAGGTTTATTCTCAGAATTCTGAGTTTATTCTCATAATTCTGAGTTTATTCTCATAATTCTGACTTTAAAATCTCAATTCTGACTTTAAACTCAAAATTCTGACTTTATTCTCAGAATTCTGACTTTAAACTCAGAATTCTGACTTTATTCTCATACTTTTGACTTTAAACTCAGAATTCTGACTTTATACTCACAATTCTGAGTTTATTCTCATAATTCTGAGTTTATTCTCAGAATTCTGACTTTATTCTCAGAATTTGACTTTATTCTCACAATTCTGACTTTAAACTCATAATTCTGACTTTATTCTCATAATTTTGACTTTATTCTCAGAATTCTGAGTTTATTCTCAGAATTCTGACTTTAAACTCAGAATTCTGACTTTAAACTCAAAATTCTGACTTTAAACTCATCTGACTTTATTCTCAAATTTGACTTTATTCTCAGAATTCTGACTTTATTCTCAGAATTCTGACTTTATTCTCAGAATTCTGACTTTAAACTCAGAATTCTGAGTTTAAAGTCAGAATTCTGAGAATAAAGTCAGAACTCTATTTTTTTTGTATGTGTGGCCCTAATCCTCTTCCGTAGAAACACGACTATAAAGCCAGTTATTTTATTGTAAATTTGTGTTTAAAAAAAAAGAAGAAAAAGTACAGGTTGGCCCTTTAATGACGCACGGGATACGTACTTCCCGGAAGTGCAGCGGGGACACAGGCCCCATCGATTCAACACAACTGCACACATAAGCATTTACTAATAATAAAGCCCCTGTTTGTATGTCATTTTCATGGAGTACTATCGCTAACACATATGGAGTGTCAAGAGGAAAAGCCGATCATCTACACAATGGAAAACAAGCCGATTGTGACATGTGAGTGTTCAATAAAAGGAGACGTACTTCTTTTATTTTTTTCTGGTTTGACAGTTAGCCAGCTAGCCGAACTCATTAGCTCGCTAAGCTAACTGGCACCCTCATATTAGCCAGGTTGGGGACGTGTGTGTGTGTGTGTGTGTGTGACGACCGGTGGCCTAACTTGTACGTGTCAATGCTTACACCTTTCTGTGCACCTCTTCTGCAGCAGTGTACGTGCTGAATGTCCACAGAAAGAGCCGTGTGTCACTGAGCTAGCCGGCAGCTACATTGATTAACAGGCCTAGGTGGCGATAAAACGTCACGGCTAGTTGCTGCAGTTTGGTTCAGGATATCACTTTGTTCCCTGCTGTGCAGCCTCTGTGTCCTCACACTATAGTCACCATATGGCAGTAGGGTTACAGAGTCAGTTTGCCATTCATAAATCCCTCGGAGTCTTACTAAATCTTCTTGGAGGAGTTATTTTAGGAGCCGGCTGTAGTGACAGCTTCACCTCACACCGCCGGCTGCTCCATTTCTCTTAGGACTGGGTGGTGCAAAGGTACCCCAGTACACAGGTGACCTACTGTGAATATGACTCCAATTCATAGACATTAATAGGTGACGTGGTGACCTTTTTTATTGGTGGTCTAATGAATTCCAACAGTGTGATCCAGGAAGGTGTCAGGTGTCCTCGCTTTCTGTCATCCCCTGAGATCATATCATAATAATAATAATAATAATAATAACTTTATTTATATAACACCTTTTAAAAACACAGGTTTACAAAGTGCTTTGACAAACAGCAAAAACAAGAACAAAGCAAACTAAACCAAACACAGAAGAACATTAACAACAGTAAGAATATAACAGATGCAAAATACTAAGAATAATTAAATACAACTCAACAGAAAAGGACCCAAAGTGCACGATACCCAACAGACATATATATAACCCGACCATCACAAGAACCATTATAAGAACCCAGGCAACACAAGAACCCAACAACAAGAGCTGAGACCAAGAGGACCAAAGATTTTGAAAAAAATGTAAGAAACTAAAAGAGCTGAAAAAAATAAATAAAAAGATATAGGTTGGGAACTCACTCCCAGAAAACATCAGAGACTCCCACACACACTCACCTCCTTCAAGAAATCCCTCAAAACTCACCTCTTCAACACTGCCTACAACCACTAACTCCCCCCCTCCTCCCCTTACATTACTTCTTCATTGTACTGTCCTCGTCGTTTTTTTGTTTTGTTTTATGGTTTTATATTTTGTCAATATATTTTTGGGTTCCTAGAAAAGCGCTATAAAAAACAATATTATTATTATTATTATTATATCAAACATGATAACCCATGACGTTACAGACCCATTTCTGTAAACTTGGTGTACAGTGATTGCCAGTTTTGTATATTCAAGTACTAGGCTGAATTATGATTTGTAATATTATGGAGGGAAATGTATAGTTGTTGTGTGGGAGAAATGCCAGGATTTTCCAACACTGGCTTAAATATTAAGAGAGTCAAATATGTATTAAAAACTTGTGATGTCATACATGTTGTGGGCCTTTCTTAGTTAACAACATCTCTTTACTTTCTGTCTTTGTTTATAACGACTGTGCTGTGTGCTCATTGTTTTTAGACCGGATGAAGTTTAGATTTTATGAGAAAGTTAGCACGTCTTAAAATATTGATTTAGTAAAATATGGAGGTGGAAGTGTGCAGGCTCTTTCTGCGTTTACAGGTGCTTTGTGGAGTTGCAAGAACAACTATACGGTCTCTGATATCTCGAACATACGTACTGTTGATTGTTTTGCACGGTTTTATTTAGGGATGCCCTGTTGACACTTGACAGACATCATCCCAGTAGCAAAAATTGTGCCTTGCACTCATGTCAGTAGCTGATGTGTATCTGTTTTCTCACATCAATTGGAACGGTAATGGTTGATTCAGATAAATGATTCTTTTATTGGGGAGTCTGAGGAAGTTGCCTGTTGTTGTAAATCATAGAGTAAGGACTTTTACCTGTTTTCAATTGGCGCTAAACAAACATAGATTGATTGATTGTTTGTTGGACAAACGGTGATTGGTTTTCATGGTCAAATGTGAAAGAGAATGTTTTGCAGTGTTGGGGTCTTGCAATGGTCGGTATCAGGGAAAGATCAGTGACATGCAGTTTGTAAGTCATGTTCCAGTATATCAGGAGGAGGAATTACTAGAAACAATTCAAAAACGTTAGATACATATGACAGATAGACATGAAGAATTACAAAGAAGTAAAGAAAAAAACATAGGTACCAGAATTGGAATAATAACTTAATATTTATACTGCTGCATTTTAACTATGGAAATTGGCTTTCAGAGTCATATCAATCTTACTACATTTTGCTTTCTTGTTGGATGTACATGGAGATCTTTTGACTTGTAGCATATTTTTTTGCAATAGTGTTATCATATACTGCACACCACCTCCATAACCAGAGATGTCTTGTGCCTGTCCAGGTGTTAAAGAGGTGACAGAAAGACTAACAGATTTTAAAGGAGGCAATCTGTCGGCGCAAGTGATTTGGCCGGTCTCCAGCACTCAAACAGATTCAAACAGAACTCACTATGAGGTTAAAGTGCTGACGTTGTCTTGCAGGATGTTTGTTGTTGTAGACATTAACACTGACTGAACAGTGCAGGATCTATTAGTCCTCTTTTCATAAAAAATACTTTTTTGCACATCTTTTGATATGGCCCAGTTACAGTGTAGCCTGAGCAAGAAATTCAGTTTTACAAGTAACTCAAAATGCACACAGTGAGCCACGATGAATGACAGTTTAAGTGTTTCTAAAACGGGGCATCGGCTGAGAAAGCTGAGTCTTTTTATCATTGAGCAGCACCAGGGGTTCTTCCAGTCATAGGTGTCAGTGTGAAGCCAGCTTTACAGGCAGGTCATGATTAAAAAAAAGTTGTAAAATGTCCATTTTTAAATGCTGTGTGTCTTAGTACTCTAAATCAAGCAGTATACGTCAACATAAGGGATCTTTGATTTTAAGCAGCTTTGGTAAAAAGACCACATCTTTATCTTTCCAACACGAATCGATGCTACAGTTAATGTGGTTTCAGGACTTTTTTTTAGTATTGAAAACTCCACTGTGATAGCAGATACTGGTCTGCAGTTTCTTTGCAGTGCTTTTCTCCCTTAATGTTTTTTTAATCACATTCTAAATAACAATTTAGAGTTCTTCACCCAATGAGGAGAGACAATATCTTCTTGAAAGTCCTGACCTTTTGGGTATATCTCTGTTAAATCCCTCTGGTAGAGACTGTACACTTTTTAATTCAGTCTTTTATATCTTTTGTTTTGTGTGTCTCACAAAATCTCAGATTCTGTGCTCTTTGGTGTACATGCTGTAAGATAATGGTGACACTCAAGGTT